TCACAAATCACAAGTGTCTGTCAGTTCTATGTGATTAAAACAAATTTTGGCCACCACCTGCCAGCACATCAAATTTTGAAGAACTTTATTATTACACGGTACAAGCACTGTTACACTGCCACAATGTCTGAAAACACCGAGCTCATAAATGTACATTTGACGGTACGGGACAGGCTCTTAGAGAAACTAGGTGAGGTGGAGGATCAGATACAGGCTGCTGGCTCTGCAAAGGACACCGTGGCCAAGATTGCCGATGAGTTCCGTACATTCCGGGTGCTAGTCCTTAGCATACTAAAGATGCTGCGGCAACAGGTCTCGGAGAGCTTGCGGAATGGAGATGAGTCGGAGATGAGGCGCCGTCGGAAAGTCATTGTGTTTCAAGGCATACCAGAGGCGGAGAAGGAGGACTGCAAGAAGGTTGCCTTGGATGTCATCAATTCTAAGCTGGGCCTTGGACTTTCAGCTTCTTCTATAAAGGTATGCCACAGACTTGGGGTTCGTAATAAAGACCATCATAGGCCTATTTTAGTGCGGTTCACCAATGTCGACACTAAGGCTTCAGTGTGGCGGGCTAAGACTGGTCTGCGGGGCTCGAAGATATCCATGAGGGAGTTCCTGACAAAGACTAGACAGGCGATATTTGCTAAGGCGCGCCAGCATTTTGGGATGCGTGCCTGCTGGACCCAAGATGGCAACATCTTCCTGAAGTCGTCTGATGGAAGAAAGCACAGGGTAACATGCTTGGAAGATCTGAGTCCACTCCTCGCCAAATATCCCAAGGCGGCGGGTCAGTCGAGTGTCGCACAGCCTGCAGCCGGGCGCGGTGGGGAGGCGAATGATGGGAACCTGGAAGTCGCACATGAATAAGGTTCTCACTCCTACTCAATGCTATTATAATTAATATGTAATGTACTTTCTATCCTGTGTTCAACTTACCATATTCTTTTCATGTTTTATTATTTAATCTTGTGGACATCAGTTAGCCTCCTCTACCCACAACTCTCGTAATTATTTGTTCTTTGTTCTTTTGTTTCGTTTTAATGACTTTTAACTTTATTACTTCTATTAATTTACTATAAAATAATGTGGGTTGTTGTATTTTGATTTTTGAGCTGTCAATTCATCTGAACGAATCTGTCCTGTCACTGTCACCGCTGTCAACTCGACAGTGAACGGCTGCGTTCAGAAACAAAATTTTATCTTTTTCTGTTCATTATTATTTTTTATTTTCTTTTAACCATAGATTACGTTTTAATGTTTGATTTTTTTTTTACATGTACTTTGTTATGTTTTCATGTACCCTGAATTTTGTTTTGTTTTGATGTTGGCTGGCGGGTGGTGCAGAGCTGCACGTGAGTAGTAACTGGCATCTGCTGTGGTATTTATCATAAAATTTACATACATAACTATTATATTTATATATTTTTGTAGTTTATTATTTTGTAATATATATTTATGACATGTCTGATATTGATTCTTTTGCGTCTGCGTCTGATGATAGTTCCTCTATTTGTAGTTTTTGCTCTTTTGGTGACACTCTGGGTGACTTCCTTCAAAACCAGTTTTCTGCCAAGAACAACCGTCTGTTAAATGTTTGTCATATTAATGCTCAGAGTGTTCCCAGTCACTACAGCGACCTCTACGAAGCGTTTAATAATAGCAATGTGCATGCCGTCCTGATATCCGAAACCTGGCTCAAGCCTCATCTCTTATCTACCACCTACCCCTTAGCTGGATATGTGCTCATCCGGAATGACCGCATTAACGGTAGAGGGGGGGGCGTGGCCATTTACCTCCGCGGTGAATTAGCTTACAGAGTTATTTCATCATCTCCCCAAAACTGTCCTGCGGAGTACTTGCTACTTGAGGTTTGTGTCCAGGGGGTGAAAATCGTTATTGGTGTATTTTACTGTCCGCCCTCAGTCGACTATTTCACTGAATTCGAATCAGTACTAGAATCTCTGGGTTCAGAGTATGCACATCACGTAATCATGGGTGATTTCAACACCAATCTCCTTGTCCACAACTCCTTTCGTTCCTGTAGGCTTCGGCATCTGATCGAGTCAGCCTGTCTTCATCTACTACCTCTCCAACCCACTCATCACAACACTGTCGGTGAGGACTCATGGCTCGATCTGATAGTCACGTCCAATCCCTCACTAGTTTCTTCTCATGGTCAACATGAGGCTCCCGGATTCTCTCACCATGACCTGATCTTCCTGTCCTATATCCTGAAACCACCCAGGGTGAGGCCTAGGGTTCTGTTCAGGCGTTGTTTTACACGGATGGATAGTGAAAAACTTATAGAGGATGCATCGAGTATTGATTGGGGGCCTCTGATGGAGGCTGCAGATGTCGATACCATGGTCGCTGTTTTTAACAAAACTTTGACTGAGCTCTACGACCGCCATGCTCCCGTGAAGAAAATTAAATTAAAACGGCCTCCCGCACCTTGGATGACCAGACACATACAGATGGCAATGCGGCGCAGAGACCGCGCGTTCCGAAAGCACAAAAATGATCGAACTGTCGAGAACTGGGCGGCCTATAAAAACGCTCGAAATAGGTGTAACCAGATGGTACGTAATGCTAAACGCCGACATATTCTAGATAACATCTCTTCTTCATCTCCGGCCGATATCTGGAAATTCCTCGGGACTCTAGGTATCGGCAAATCACAACACACTGACCTCCCAAATTCTGTTGGTTTAAATGACCTGAACCGACATTTCTCCACTGTGTCCAAATTGGATCCTCTTGCTAAACAGCAAACTTTATCTTTTATTTCTGCTCTGATGCGTTCGTCTTCTTTAGCTTCTTTCACATTCACACCGGTGCAGCCTGAAGAGATTCGAAAGATCATCCTCTCCATTAAATCCAGGGCGGTGGGTTGTGACGGTATATCGCGGTATATGGTCACAACCATACTCGATCATCTCCTCCCAACCATAACTCACATGGTTAACTATTCCCTGTACTCCAAAGTCTTCCCATCCTTGTGGCGTAAAGCCTATGTCCGTCCTCTTCCTAAGATAACCAATCCTACTCTTCCCACACACTTCCGTCCTATATCAATTCTTCCCTTCCTGTCAAAGGTGCTCGAGGCCTGTGTCCATAAGCAACTTGCTGACTACATATACAGTAACTCGCTTATAAGTCCATTGCAATCCGGATTCAGGCCCGGGCACAGTACTGTAACCGCTCTCCTTAAAGTGATTGGCGATGTGAAGGCAGGGATGGAGGACACCAGGATCACAGTATTGGTTTTGGTGGACTTTTCGAATGCCTTCAACATGGTCAATCACGACATTTTGCTAGCTATCCTATCCCATCTTTCGGTCTCTGATGGTGCACTGGATTGGTTTTCATCTTATCTTCAGGAACGTCAGCAATTGGTCCAGGTTGGTGAGGCTTCGTCGAACTGGTGCCATTTAGAGGCTGGGGTTCCTCAAGGCGGAATTCTCTCTCCTCTTCTATTCTCCATCTTCATAAACCTTATCACTTCCGAACTTCAGTGTGCGTACCATCTGTATGCCGACGACCTGCAATTGTACTGTCAAGTCAAGATTGAGGACTTACCTGATGCAGTTGCGAAGGTGAACGCGGACTTGACTGCCATATCTAACTGGTCTGGGAAATTTGGCATTAATGTCAACCCGAGCAAGTGTCAGGCGATAATAGTAGGTAGCTCCCGCACTTTGTGCAAGGTTAACAGTGCAACGGTACCGCCAGTCCGATTTGACGGTGCGGTCATTCCATTTAGTAGTGATGTCAAAAATCTTGGGTTGCACATCGACGGCAACTTAACCTGGCGTGCTCATGTTACTAGTGTCTGTCAGCGAGTCACGGGGACGTTGCGAGCCCTCTATCGGTTAAAAAACTTCCTTCCGTCGTCGACCAAGGCGATGCTTGTTCAGTCCTTGGTTTTCCCCATAATTGATTACGCTGATGTGTGTTACTACGACCTGAATGCAGATCTCCTCAATAAACTTGACCGCCTTCTAAATAACTGCATTCGATTCGTTTTTAACCTGCGCAAATACGACCATGTCTCTGCATATCGGTTGCAACTAAAGTGGTTGCCCATACGTCAACGCAGAAAACAACGGGCGTTAACCACTTTATTCTCCCTTCTTTATTCCCCCACTTCTCCTAGCTATCTATCCTCCTATTTTCAATTCATAAGTGCAAACCACAGCAAGTATCTTCGTTCCACTAATAATCTTCTTCTACAATGTCCCACGCACCGGACCGACTTCCTTCACTCTTCATTCTTTGTCCAATCCATTCTGCTGTGGAATGCGCTGCCCACGGATGTCAGGACGGCAACCAGCCGGCTTAGTTTTAAAGTTAAGGTTCGTGAACTATTGCAGAGGGAACAGACAGACGCATCACGTACTTAATTTATCATTTTGGCGATTTTATTCAATATATATGTATAAATATATATAATTATATATATATATATGTAGTTATTAGTAGTAGTAGTTATGTTATTTCCAATTTATATATTATCTTTTATAGTATTGTTATTTAGTAATATTGATAATTTATCTTATGTAATTTACATTATACCTATTACACCTACTGTTGCACATCTCTGCATCACCCCATGGTTGACTGTTAGAGAATGCCACCCGGCATTAAGTCCGCCATCGTATGTTATAATATACAGAAGTGTTAATAAATAAATAAATAAATAATATACTGAAACATTCTGTTTTAATCTGTTTTTTTCGAGCACCATGTATGTATAACTTAGACCCATTGTAGTACTCTCAGTACACTCCCAGATAAGGTACTCTTGAAAATTTCGCAAAATCTACATTTCCTTCTGTTTTGGTCTCGGAGACTGAAATATCAGTAGCTGTAGTTGTAATCACTTGACCAGTGCCCCTCTATCTCCACCTTTGATGAACTAAACGTGTCATTTATCTACTATTACCTTACATACATATAGTCAGAAAACTAGGAAGTATATTGAACAATGTTTGTTTCAGTCGAGGTGTCCTGCGGCGGCACAGTGCAGAATAACCTGACGTACTTCATGTCGCCCGGCTTTCCCGAGCTGTGGGGCGGCGAGGAGGACTGCAATATTACCATTGAGAAGACACACGCTGGCATCATGCAGCTCAGGATTGACTTTTTACACTTCACTATTGTGAGTCACGTTAAACTTCAATACGTTTTTTTCCTGGTACTTGGTCCTTGAAAATTATATTATTATGTTTGTATGTTTTCAAATAAAGAAAATACCTTCTACTAATCTTCTACAGTAAAAAATGTTTAATACAGTCAAAAATACTAAGTTAATTAATCAAGAGATCTCTCTCTTCCAATTCCAGGGTCAGCCTAACAGAACCACAGGAGATTGTGACGAGGATGCCATGATCTTGGGCGATGGAGACAGCAAGTTCACACTGTGTGGACAGAATCATGCACAACATGGTAAGATTTTTTAAGCTGATGAACTATAAATACAACTCATGATAAACAGATCAATTTCTTGATAAGAATCTTTAACCATCGTTGTTTTTTGTGATTGGAGGTTATGATTTCAGATTACCAGAATTTGTGGATTGATCTTGATTTTACACAAAAATCGATTTCAATCTAAAGTTTTGGAATCTCTATTCAAAATCGTTATCGGTAGGTATCGTATATCGGTTACTGAAAACATAGTATACTTAAGATTAAAATTAAAATTCAATTACCTAAAATAGCAACATCAATGGACATGACCATTGATAAACTAAGATTTCATAACAATATTAAGACCACTGGCGAAGTGACTACATTTTAAAGAGGAACCTATTTGCTTTACCCTAGACTCATCAAGTTTCTATAAATTACAGTATACTACACACTATCAACGGGTAGTGAGAAGAGAGAAGACAGCGATCTGCCTGGCACGAAGACCATTAAACTGTCGATGAGGATGCGAGCTGGAGATATGCCGCGGATCTGGCTGATGAGGCTCGCGCAGATGCCGCTAGCGTACACAGCTCCGCATAATTGTCTGCAGTATTTTACGAATGATAATGGTAATAATTATGATTTCGACTAGTGCTATTTAAGAAAAAATCTTTACAAATGAAAATATGTTACCACGTTACGAGTCTAATAAAAAGCAAGAGGTCACTGTTAGACCGTTACCAAATATCGGGCGAAATCGTAGACACACTGCTCTTAGAATATTGTAGTTGGAAGTATTATTTTGTTTTGACATTATATTTAGGCTGTAGATAAGGTTTCATTACAACTACTTGATAATGATCAACTACTCTTTAAGTATATACCAAAAACTTAATCCATGAATTTAGAAAAAAACCCTTTTCAATTTTTAGGTACAATAAAAACTTTCAACTATGCATCGAACGGGCGTCACCTAGCCAGTCAAGAATACAAGGCATGCATCAGAAGAAACTCAGGGTTCTGTTCTGTGCGTTACACTCCTTGTGACAGCCGTTCCTTCAGGATAGGACCTGGTGGTGGAACTCCACTGGTTATGGACCCTGCAGGTATGTTCATAAACGTAAAACAAAAGTATTGGACTATGGACTTATTTTGATTTTCGCATGAGTCAAGTCCTGTTAAAACAGTACTATCAAAAACTATATTGAATTCAATGTAAACTAACGTAGAACTTTTTTTGGTCGTGGCTTCAAAGGTCCACCTGTATTTCATGCAGGCGAGATTCGGTATATGCCTTCTCGATGCCTTCTACGAGCAGGATCAGCCCTACGAATTACGTTTTTAACTAATGGCACAACTGTTTCTCATTATGGAACTAAACATATACGAAGAAATACTGAGTCCCTATACAATACAATGTAAGTCGAAAGTATATTTCTGATCTCCCTTTCGGGTTACCAGTAATGAACAACGGGCGTGAAGCTATGAGATATGTAATCAAACCCTTTTCACCGGAGCACATCACGAACATCGTCACAAACGCGGAAAATGTAAAAACACGGATAATATAATAAACGGAGAGTTTTAAATTTAAGCTCTTTGACCGCGTTGACCTCTACGACCTTTAGGCTGCGGACGAACCCTTTGCCATGCAAATCGTAAAAACAGAAGGTATTCTGTCCAACATTATTATTCATGTTTATCATACTGCCATTCATATTCCAGTTAACTTTTAAACAAAGCCCATTCGTTACTAAGTTTACAGCCGCGGGATTTGAACTGGGGACTGTTATGAGGTATGATGGTAGACGTTTCCAATAAAAATATTATATGGTCACACTACATAGTTTCAGATGTCCTTAGCATAGAAGGCATTTTTTGAAGGGGGGGGGGGGAGGAATCATTAATTTACTTTTGAGGCCTTGGGTTAGGTGAGAGGGAGTGTCAGACTCTTGTGGACTAAAAGCCACCCCGTTCCTACTCCTGCTCTTCAAGCCAGAGCAACAACTCTACTGGGCCCCATCTGTGGTGGTCTGATGGCTCTTTGAGTCTTGACGCGCCGTACGCACGGGTCTGGTTCTGTTTGGACGACGAGCTATTCTTGCTCGCGGTCCGTAGACCCGCACATCATAGAAGGCATAAAACGCAATTTCGTGCTCTGGACTGTTAAAAATCGAAAATATGATTTTCACATTGACCAATCACAGGGTTAAATTTGATACACCTTGTAAGACACAATTGTGACCACTAGTGCCGTTTTATTAATAAATCATTATTCTTATTTTAAACAGAAATGCAACAAGAAGAAATGATGCCAGCTGATGAAACACAGACACAAGAAGACGAAATGGAAGGTTCTGGAAATGAACCGCAAATGGAAACTCCAATGCGAGAGGAACCCAGTCTCATCTCTAGGGTAAGATCATAAAAACAAAACATAAGCGAGATTTTAGTAAAGTATAGGTAACGCACGATTAGTTTTAGAAAAATGAACTTATTAAATAAGTAACTTATAATACAATTTTGAGTGAGGAAATCTATTACAATCTAAGGAAACTTCATAAAACTTTAAAGGTACAAACAAAGTTCACAGGTTTATGGTCTCAATGGGGCTATAAATTGTATCTAAACTGCATTGCAGATAAGTTTTTCATTTGCCGAGTTTCTAACATGTGCATACTGGAATATCTTATAAATCTTCGTTTTAACTTTATACTCAAGCATTTTTGCTGTAACTGCCATTTTTTGGACCACGTCAAAGGAAAAGATTCGAGACGAAGTCCTTTTAAATTTTCTGAAGCGTCTTTTGGTTAAAGATTTTTCTTATTTTATTACATTTTGTTAGTTTTATGTGAAAACATTTATATTAGTTAGAGTGCCGTACGTGAGCACAGCAAAAAAATAAAAGCAACTGAGTGGTTGACTCCCTGTGCTATTTATCGATTATTCGATTAGTGCAGACAAAAAAATGTAATTTGAGCAAAGGTTTTCCAGCTGTAAGAGTAAAATGTGAGTTAACCAATATGAAGACACTTCAAACACTAGGAACATAATAATCTGGTCAAGGGTATTAGAATATCTGAACCAGATTTTAATAGGGTAGATGCCTAATTTTAATATAATGTCCGTCTGGTAGATTATTTTAAATCATTAGACACGTATTTTTTATTTTCTTACAGAAACGAATATTTTCGACGATATATTGATTTGAAATGTCGCATGACGTCACTTCTATGTACATTTTATACGTAGAAATGACGTTTTAGCCCTTACTCCTAAACTTTGATTCGTTTTATCTAAGTTTTGTTTTATTATACGACAAATTAAAAAAAAATACGTGTCCAATATTTTTTCATTACCTAACTTACGGACTAGCTAGATTTTTAATTATCATACCGTCATCATCCCAATTGTCAGTATTTTATGAAGGTAAAACCAATGGACAATAGATTACCTTCATCCTCAGATGACCATTAAAGTTGTGTACAAAACGGAAGCACCAAACTACTTATAGAGAACAGTGAACTTAAATTGCGTTCTCATTTATTGTTTATCATATTTATGTGCAACTAATCACAAACCAAACTAAATAAAGTATCCAATGCATTAAAACACAGTAACCAATGATACTAAAATGACATGACAGTCCTCTCCAGAAAATAACATGGAAACATAATTACCTATTATAAAGAAAACTATATTTATTTACACAATACAACATAATTAAACTTATTGCTTGATAAACTAAATCCAGATAAAATGGGTCATTCCTAATCATTTTAACAGTATTTGATTTAAATATAATGAAAGTATCTACATATATTTATTTGCAGCCAATCCTATTACAGTTCTTTTATTATAATTATCTTAATGGAGAAGTTCGTTTGTTCTTAGCATCAAATTATCTTGACTATAAGATACACATCGTCTTATTCAATACTTTTGTCGTTTTCTAGAGGGATTTTATACATAGCATCTTCTTTGAAGGTCCAAATACGAATGGATTTCATTCCTAGTATAGTTAGTCTTTCAAAGGCTTGGTATGAGTGTATTTCCAACCACACTCATCGCAGTCCTGTATTTCATACTACGTTCCTCTTTACGCAATCAATGAAGCGTGCGGGTACATTACGTCAGCACGTACACACACAGACCTATACATATCCAGTATATCATGGTCCCACTTTCTGTAATCTTTTCGCATATTCGACAGTCAGTTTATACTGGTTTTATACAACTTGATACGTCTCAGTGTTCTTCACTGAAACGATCGCATATGAAAATTCTCCTCCTAATGTAGATATTTCGTTTCGTGTTCTATTGAAATGTTTCTAAATTTCTTTTCAACGATATTTGTGATTAAAATCGTGTCGAATAGACATGTTCTAGGTTTAGTCCTTATTTTTTTATTTCATGTGATCGATTTGAGTTTTCGGTCATGTGAAAACTTGTTTTAGTTCATCATCCTTTTATTAAAACTACGTTAATTGCTTTTTCATTTTCCATATCGCATATCCAAGGTATCCCTCTCTTAAACGTACGCTATATGCTATAAATATCAATAAATAACTTTCAATCGAACTTGCCCATTATCTATACGTATATTATGTACTACAACTATATAGACCCCAGTTCCCCGTAGCTAGCTTAACCCTAAACTAACCTACATCTAGATCTGGACGTATATTTCGTCTTGGATGTGGGGTCAGGCGAGGTCTTCCACCTGGTCGCGCTGGTCACCATACACGCAGCACTATGGGAGCGATGATGATAAGTTCCGGTACTTCGGCTATGGGAACTACGGGATCGGTCTGACTGGCCATGGCAGACAGCGGTGTGACGACAGGATTACCATACCATGTGAAAATGAATATTTTATTTCGGTGAGTTGTTTGTGTGATTTTTTTAATTTTTGTAAGATAGGTACTTATAACTTTGTGATTGCTGGTATATTTTTATAATCAATGTTTCATTTCGTTTATCTGTGGTGTTTCAGTAATCCATTAGTCCGTTATTTGGCATTTACTCGTAATAATTCCAATGTTTTTAGTCAACATCGAGACTGTATTCTGAATATATACATTTTTCAATTGTTTTTACAAATAAAATTTATTAGATTAATAAGGTGCTATACGCACACAAGGATGTTGAAAACAATTCGGCCATAATGCCACTTAGAAATGATTGAAGCACAAAAATGTCAGTGGTATATTTATGTGTGCGTGTGTAATGGGTTACTACGTTACCAGTCCTAAGACAATGACAGATGTCCTTCGTGTCAATGTGTGTATGTTCTCTGTAAGTCTATAGTAGCCAGGTGCCACAGTCGTTGTTTCAAGAGACTGTGTACGCCTTTTTTCATCGTCCTGTTTGTACATAAGACGTACCGCTATTCATAAAATCTAAAACTAAAATTAAAGATTTTAATACTGACTTAAATATCATTTCAAAAACTTAAAGAACTTGAAGATTCTAATTATAATAGTATTAAAGCTTAGGACTTCCATTAGAGGACTGGAATATAAAAGAGAAACTTTGTGAGAGGTACTTGTGGAGTTAATAATCAGGAAAGGAAGTAATATTGTTAAAGTTCCCTTAAGAATGACCCGGTTTATAGAGTGTTCGGTGGGACTTGGATCCTGCTGAGTTGAAAGTACTCGAGTGGTTCTCGCCAACTTTCTGAATAGTAAGGGATGCTTTGGATTTCAATTGATTATGAACGCAGATGGAAATTGTGTTGGTGTTACAATATCTGGTTTGTGAGATTAAAATGAGTAATTTTGATAGGACCTTTTTATATCAGAGGATGTAGAGGGTATAATGATGATGAAATTTCTGGTCGAAGAATGGTTCTTACTTATATTCTGTCGTTTTTTAAATAAATTATACACCGTGAAATCTATTTCGGTTTCGTCTCGAAGTAAAATGGTTCTCTTTTGATAATACAATAGTTTTAGACTAAATAATATGTTTAAAACAAAAAATAACTGGTGAACCATTGCAAAAAGCAAACTTCGAAAGCGCATACGAACTATATATACATAATA